GAGTTTCAGAAAGTTAGGGGTACCTTATTTTGGGGTCCTCATAATAGGGATCCTAGTATTTAGGGTACGGTATTAGGGTCCCCTATTTTCGGAAACCCCCACTTCTTCAAAACAGTCATTAACGCGAGTTCGGCAGCACCTTTTGAACCCAGTCACCCCCCCACCACCTCAAAAAAAAACAATTGAGCCCTAACGCCCTGGATCCCACACCCTAGCCCAAAACCTTACTTCATACTTTTCTCTGCACCGCCTTAAACCCTAATCAAACCCCCATCTGAACTCCCAAACTACGTACAGCGGCACCTGGCAGAGTGCGGAGTGGTCGGCGGCGGCGCAGGGGTGACCATCTGCTGCAAGTCCAACTGTGGCAAGCTCGGTGGCCGCCTAGCAGAGCACTTTAGTACGGTTTAGGGTTTAGGGTTTAGGGTTTAGGGTGACATTATAGGGTTTTAGGCTAAAGTGTTAGGTGTAGCGTTTAGGTTTGAGCTCTTTCTGGAGCTTTAGGATTTGATGGTTGCTTGCAGGGTGTGGGGTGTCGGGTTGCGGATGCAGGGTGTTTGGGTGTTGTCCAGAATCCTTTTTTGAGCGAAGGGGATGAGCAATGAGATGAGGATGATGATGATGATGATGCTGATGATGATGATGGTGATGATGATGATGAAGATGATGATGATGACGATGACGAAAACGATGATGATGTTGCTGCTGATGATGATGGTGATGACAACGAAAATGATGATGACAACGATGACGATGACGATGACGATGAATATGAAGATGATGACGCTGATGATCATGATGATGATGATGATGGTGATGGTGATGGTGATGATGATGATGATGATGATGATGATGATGATGGCGATGGTGATGGTGATGGTGATGATGATGATGATGATGATGCTGGTGATGCTTCTCGACAGACACTTGCACTCTGAGCTGGACAGCAACATCCACACCCTCACCCTTCAAACGGCGCAACTCCCAAAACCATGAGGCTCTGAACCGCAAAGCCTGGACCCCAAACCCTGTAGACCCTGTAACGCACGATCCTCCACGCCTACATGAACCTATAATATCCCTCGTATTGAGGACTATAGTTGAGTGTGCCTCGGGGTGGGGGAGGGATTGCACATCCCACTCCTATGAAAACCTCGGTCGATGCAAGCACCCAGGACACAACCCCTAAATGCTAAACCTTGCCCGATTCTAATAATCACCCAGAACAAAACTGAGCCCTAAACCTAAACCCTTCAGTAAACCCGAATGCAGAAACTTGAGAAGCCTCGCACCTCAGCTCACGCTGTGCCGGCCGAAACGCCGCCTTTCCGTGGCTATCGAGGAGAGCGCCGGGAAAGGGTGCCCGCGGCGACGGCGCGTCCTGCAGGGACTCCGGGGAATTCGGATTTGTACGGTGTAGAGCGTATCGAATTGATGGCTTCATGCATGTATACCCATAGGCCCCATAGTAGTTCCTTTTTGGGCTTGGTATTTAGAATCCTATAAGGTAACTGCTATGGCTGCTATGGGGCCTATGGGTAGCGTCGTATGGAATTTCTTCAACACTCCATTCCAGGGTGTGCTTCCAACCGCCAAGAAATGATGAAACTTGCTGCGCAGGGCCGTCGGTCAGTGGGTCGTGCCACTGAGCTGCATGCCCGAGACGAGAACAGTCCAGCCCTACAGGAACAACTTATACAGCCCTACAGCCCTAAGGGCTCATGTGGTCATGATAGTACAAAAAACAAAAAATGATCCACAAGTACGTATCTAGGGACTACTTTGAGGCCAAAGTATCAACTGATTACGGCATGATATTATAGGGGCCTGAAAGATTACTAATACTATGTATTTTGGAGATCCTTTTTATGATTATAGCATGCCGTACCACAAAACCCTGTTGAAAAAGATGGTCCCGAAACTATAGTATTAATCTTATATGCACCGAAGGTCTTTTCATCTTGGGGGCTTTGTAGGAAAACTCAGTGTCTGCAAGTGCGTCTGCTTATTGCTGGCTTCATTTCTGCTCTATGCTGTCCTCATGCTTG